CAGTTCCAAGACAGACCCCTGAGGAATACTGCTTGTGACCGGCCTCCACTCTGACACAGAACCATTGCTCACAACCCTTTGGCTGCATCCAGCCAACCAATTCCTAACCTAATCCATCGAACAGCCCAAGGAGGTAATAATATATTTACCTTTGCATTAGTGTCCCTTGGTTTTCCTCTTCCTAGCTAATTCCCCATTTTCTACATAATCTACATTGACATGGCTGTTGCAGTCAGATTTTTCCAAAATTCTGGTCCCACCTTAGCCAGAAAAATACATAAAGCTCTACACATCACATGACAAGTTCAAGAGCTTCTGGTGAGCTCACCACAACATGCTGACTCTGTATCATCTATGAGAGGACAGAAGTCTGCAGAGCATCTAAAGGGGCACACAGATAAGACGTTTCTCCAATTTTAAAGCAGGTACAGCATTCATTCATTATTTTGTGAAGCCTTTTCCCTTCAAAGCGGTTACCTTGATAAGCTTGCAGCATCTATTTGAACTATTTTCAATGCTGTTAAGGTTACAAAGAAGTCATGTTTGAGACAGATGGTCTTTTGTTTCTAAATCATATTGTTCTGTTATTAATCACAAATGCAAAGGATAGTACAAAGTTATTGAGGTTTCATTGGGAAACTTTGATAGAAATGGGTTATTTCATCCTGAATAGTAAAAGCCATGGGAAATCATTCAGCAGTTTGTAGGCATTGGTAAAACACTGAGTTCCACGATCCCAGAGTTATCATAAATAGAAAATTATTTCAGACCTACGTGCTGCCCCATTATGCATTTAACACCTGGTTCTCATCAACAAAAGAAGGAAACAACCTCTTTCAGATGAGTCTTCTTCATTCTTCAAATCTATTACCAAAGTGACATTTCATCTCAAATGCATTCCAGAAATCTGTGAAGGAAATAATAATTGAATGTGGCTGTTTTCCCAAATTATACTGTTTGTATTTTCCTTTGCAGTGGTGAAGGCAGAATCTTAGAATGCTCATAGAATCATAGAATCATAGAATCACAAGACTGGAAAGGACCAACAAGATCATCTAGTCCAACCATCCCCCCATTACCACTGCTATCAAAACCTTTCCATAACTTCTCCTTTTCATAACCTTTCGAGACTCTCCTCACCCTTTATCAGTTGCACCCTTCACTGGTACCTACTTCCATTCTTCTTATTTTCAGTCAAATAACTGACAGAAGCCTCAGATTTCTACTCTGTGGTCTAAAGAACTATAAATGAATCAAAGCCTATTCTGTCTGCTCATGTTATGAAACGTATCACATAATTTGGCACCTGTAAAGTAATCCCACCAAAGATACTGTGCAATTGAATGCTGGTGCTGGGGCCTGTCCTCTTCAATATCTTTATTGATGACCTGGATGAGGGCATC